GTGGTTAGGGGGTTTATGCTGAGATGCTGTGTTGCCCGTTCATAACCCAAGTTCTTGTACAGTATACAATAACAACTCGTCAGAAAGCCCGTTGTAACTCCAAGTTGTCGATAGTATGTCAGTAAGTGAGGAGAGGCTGTATGTTTATTATGATAGCATTCAGCCCTGGCTGCAGACCGGGCTGCAGGGGCATTGACCCCCCAAAATCTTCTCCAGGTGTACTCCAGGTACTGGACTACAAACAGTAGAGTTTAAGGTATGTGAGAGTGGTGCAGTACATAGTTACAAAGGCATGTGTTGCACAATGACTTGCATGTATAGAATTAAGTTTAATGCACATTTGACATATGCTTCTGACATATCTTTACTTACCTATCACAGATGAGGAATTGGGCGGAAGAGATGGTATGAGACATCTTGTTAAGATGGAAGTGTTCAAGAATATGAACATCGGCCTAGCACTTGATGAAGGCTATGCAAGCTCAACCGAGAAAATGGAGGTTTTTTACGGCCAAAGAACTCCATGGCGTAAGAACTTTATTAACTTTTTTGGGGGAAATTTATCTTGCTCTCCAATGTTAATATTGCTTTTACAATAGAAAACCATATGGGTTTAGCACTTTCTTGTGAGTATAATGATAATTCTCTTCATGTAGTGTCTTTTGTTTTCCCTATGCATTCGTCTTGCTATCCTGTATCCTAACCTTATTTTTGTTCATTCTTTACACCACACACAGTTTTAACCTTTTCAAATTCATTTCCTGCTTCTGCACTTTCATATTCATATGGATATGGTAGTTAGTCTTTCAACCTTTTACAACCATCACTTTTAGTTTTATCAAAAATGCCACTGAAGTAATGTTACCTCATTAAGAAAATTAGCACACACCTTACTGCATAATATACACAAGCAGTTGAAATAAAGTAGATTATTTTTTTTTTTTTTTTTTTTTTTTCAACAAGTCGGCCGTCTCCCACCGAGGCAGGGTGACCCAAAAAAGAAAGAAAATCCCCCAAAAAGAAATTTTCTTCTTCTTATTCTATTTAGTAATGTTTACAGGAAAAGGGGTTACTAGCCCATTGTTCCCGGCATTTTAGTTGACTTTTACAACACGCATGGCTTACGGAGGAAAGATTCTTATTCCACTTCCCCATGGATATAAAAGGAAAAGTAATAAGACCAAGAACTATTAAGATAAAATCAAAGAAAACTCAGATGAGTGTGTATAAATAAATGTGTACATGTATGTGTAGTGTGACCTAAGTGTAAGTAGAAGTAGCAAGACGTACCTGTAATCTTGCATATTTATGAGACAGACAAAAGACACCAGCAATCCTACCATCATGTAAAACAATTACAGGCTTTCGTTTTACACTCACTTGGCAGGACGGTAGTACCTCCCTGGGTGGTTGAAAGTAGATTATAACCCTCATAATTATACTTAGGTGGTGGCTTCGAGTGATAATTTTACTGAGACAAATGTTTTTTTAAGGTGTAACGATCGAATGCCAAGGGCAACCAGGTCATGGATCGCAGTTCATTCCAAATACCGTCGGTAAGAAGCTTCGCCACATCATCAACTCGTTTCTTGGTTACCGTGATCAACAAGAGCAGAAACTGAAAGACAACCCTCAACTTGATTTGGGTGATGTGACCACTGTTAATCTTACTTACCTTAAGGTAAGAAATAATACACAAATACACAAATAACCTGTACATAGGAGAATTAAACTCATGAGTGTTTGTCTGACTTGGGCCATTAACTAGTTGCTATTGTCTCTTGGATCATTAACTAGTTACTATTGTCTCTTGGACCATTAATTAGTTGCTATTATCTCTTGGACCATTAATTAATTGCTATTGTTTCTTGGACCATTAATTAGTTGCTATTGTCTCTTGAGAAAGTGACAGATTAGTTTTACAAAATATAAAGAATTGCATGTGGTGGTCTTGATTGGTTAATACTATAAATTTGAGTATGAAGACTATTGTTACCTTCCTTTGTAGCTTGGTTGGTAGCACACTCAGCTCATATATTGAGGTCTATGGTTCAATCCCTGGTACGGTGGAAACATTTCGGCGTGTTTCCTTAAGACACCTGCTGTCCCTGTTCACCTAGCATTAAAATAGGTACCTGGGTGTTAGTCAACTGGTGTGGATCACATCCCTGGGACAAAATTGACCTAATTTGCCCAAAATGCATAACAAGAGGCTTTCTGTATATGTCATTGATGACAGCTATGGTCTTTATAAATTGTATCATATGCAGCGAAACCAGAGGTGTCGCTAGAGTTGGTGTCACCCGGGGCAGCATCTTTGGCGTCACCCCCATGATATTCAAAGGTGGGGGGATGGGGGGTAAACTCCAGTTACATCACTACTACATGACCAGTGACTAATGTTTAACAATGAGAACGTTTAAGGACCATAAACCAAACAGGAGAATACTTCTCAACTTTATTAACCCTTTGACTGTTTCAGGCCCCTCTCTGAAACTGTCATTCTATGTCGCTCAATTTTTGAAAAAAAAAAAATTATTTTTTCTTATGAAATGATAGAGAATCTTTTCCCGATGGTAATGACACCAAAAGTTCGAAATTTGGTCGAAAACTCGTGGAATTATGCTCCCGCGAAGTTAGCGGTCTCGGCGACATATGCGTATCGGCGATTTCGCCGACTTTGAGCCCAATTTTCAGCCAATTCCATTGTTCCAGTTGACCAAACTCATAGCTATTTCTTTAGAACTCCATTTTATCTATCAGCTGAGTACAAGAAACCTCCCATTTACTAATTTGGACTACCCAATATGGTGATCAGAAATTGGCAATTTGGCCAATTTCACGCAAAATAAAAAAGATGCCAATTTCAAAATAGGGTCCAGAATAAACAAGGTAGACATTCGTGGCACTAAAATAACATATGCTCTGTTCATTAGTCACATCTCTAGCCCCCCTTATATTATTATTGCTTTCTATTTTGATTTTTTATTCATACAAAAAAATACAAAATTTACTGTTATACAGACGACTGCATTATTGTAAAAATGGTATAAATAATATCAGTGCACTAGTGAAAGAATATTAGACTCCCCAGTTGACGTGTATTGGACGTGTGGTGTGATTTATTTACTCTTGAACATTGGTAAAAATCGAACATTTCCGCTACTTTGAGCTCAGTTTCAACGTCGTTTTCATCGTAAAAGTAACGAAAATCATCTCCATTTCTGTAACATGTTTTCCATTTTATCACCTAAGACCATGAAAACGCGAATACAACGATAAATACTATACGAAAATACACCTCAAAGTCGGCGTTTTATTCCAAAAAAACGATCAGTTTTTTTTTTTCTCATTACGCAATGTGTGCTGCAGGATTTTTTTTGTGGTGCACACTGACCACACAGACCCATTCTCTCACATGTGGGCCTACCAGCTTTCTCCCACTTGATTTGAAGCCGCTAGAATTATTGAGTATATATACGTCAGAAACATTGGCTCGTAAGACGTATTTATACGTCGAAAACAGTCAAAGGGTTAATGATTAAATAATCATAGTAATATTGAGGAAACATAAAGTCAAATACCACTTTGAGTACAGCCAACAGATCCTACATTTATTCATCTTCAACAATAAAAAAAAAAAAAAATTGAAAGTGTTCCACAAGGAAGCGTGCTGGGTCCATTGTTATGGAATGTCTACTTCAACGACCTTCTTCATCTCATCCCAGAATCACATGCATATGCAGACGACTGTACACTGACATTCACTTATCCAAGAGAAGAAATGCCAGCTGCTCTAAGCTACATCAATCACCAGCTGAGAGCTATATCAGCTTGGGGAAATAGATGGCAGGTAACATTTGCACCTGAGAAAACGCAAATGATGATCGTCTCTAGGCACCATGATGGTAATGCTGGCGCAGTAGTAAGGATGAATGGGAGGGTGTTGGCACCTGGAGAAGAAGTTGATATCCTTAGGGTGAAATTTGACTCCAAACTAACCATGAAGAACCATGTTGTAAATCTTGCAAACAAGGCAGCCAGGAAGCTTACAGCACTTCGCCGTATCTCGCATCTGCTTGACAGTAGGGGTTGCAAGATTCTGTACGAGGCAAAAAGTACGCTCACACCTAGAGTATGCTCCACTTTCTTGGTTTGCCTGCCCCCCCTCTCATCTGCGACTGCTTGACAGAGTAGAGAACAGAGCAAGACGTCTCATCTCTCGCCTGGACCCATCTTGGATAGATCTGTCATTTCAGCAGAGCCTTCAGCATAGGAGGGATGTGGGTGGCCTTACTGTTATGTACAAGGCCAATATTGTCAAAATACCACACTTGGATCCACTTCGAGGACAGCATGAAACAAGCTTTTATGCCACAAGACGGGCAGGAAGCAGCATCTTCACTCTGGCTGTACCCTTCTCCAGAACATCACTCCATCTGAGATCATACATACCCAGGATGACTCGAGTATGGAACACATTCGTACAGCATAATGATGTCAACGAGATAAAGTCAGCTGATCAAATGAAAATGCTGGCCCACAGATGGCTCCAACTTCATCCTGTTCCCTACTTGTATGTCTCATAACAATAAAAATGCTTTCAAATGAGCTGATGTAGGTAACAGCTCTTAGCTTGCCAATAAAGTTAGGAATCCTTAACCTGTAAATAGCTTGTCAATAAAGCTAGGGATCCTTAACCTTGTCAAACCCTGTGTAAAAAAAAAAAAAAAAAAAAAAAATTGCAGTATCAGAGAAACACTTGCTCCGATTTGACCTTGAGTACAGGTAACATCTCAATGAATCTGATCTTACATTTTTTTGCCTTCAGTTATGCAAAATCCTCTTTCATATCAAAATCAATGATTTTCCCTATATAGGTTTATTTGTACTCTGTAATCCTATTATAGGCTATATAGAAACGAAGGATTCCTCTCTTATGTTGGTGCAGCACTGTTTTTGTGCATTTGTGTCTCCGTCTTAGAGGCTCTATGGTGGTCACTTCTCCTTAAATTATGTCACCCGGGGCAGGCCCGCCCCCCCTTGCCGAAGCCTCTGTAGCGAAACACCGAGTTCAAACGTATTGACATCGAAACGCTTCAGTTTCCGACCACGTTTTTTCAAAACCCATTTTGTCCTGGGTATCGAACTTATCTTGCCTCTGTGTTTTGAACCTCCGGGTACCGGACCTGTCGCCTGCCCGCTCCGTCCGCATCCGCGCCAGGCATCATGAGCCATCTGGCTTTGTTGAGCTTGAGTGAACACTATCCCTGTGCACACAATTCCAGCTTTCACTATAATTCAATTGGGTTTTGGTGCTTGTCGACTGTGAAATAAGCTACCATGGGCCCAAAAAACTTGCTAAGTGGTACCCCTGTGGAGAGAAAGAAAGAAACACCATAGGACGTTGAAGATCAGGAAGATGGTAAAAAATTACAGAGTGGTGTGCGACTGGTGGAGCTTGCCAGGATGTACAGAAAAAACAAGTCAACAATCGCATCTATCCTGGTGAAGAGAAAAGAAATCAAGGAAGCTAATGTTGTGAAAGGTGCTGATATGCTAACCAAAAATAGACCACAGTTGATCAGGTTAAGAAGTCGTTGCTGGTGTGTATCAAGGATAAAGCTTTGGTGGGTGATAGTGTTTGAGACAATCATTTGTGAAAAGGCAAGGCAGTTGCATGCTGATCATGTAAAAAAAAAACTCCTGGAACCAATGCTGATAGTGAATTTAAGGCCAGCAGAGTCTGGTTTGACAAATTTAAGAAGCATAGTGCATACACAGTGTTGTAAGGCCCAAAAAAAAAAAAAAAATGGGAGAGGCAGCCAGTCCAGACAAACGGACGGCTGAAAAATTTGTGCATGAATTTAAGGGGTACGTAGACACTGAAAAATTCAAACCCCAACAAGTGTTCAATTGTGATGAAACAGAACCGTTTTGGAAGAAAAAAGCCAAAGAGACCTACTTTATTACCCAAGGAGAAAAGGCACTGCCAGGACACTTAAAACCGATAAGACAGGCTAACTCTTTGTTCTCTGCTAACGCTAGTGGAGATTTTCAAGTGAAGCCTTTACTGGTGCATCATTCAGAAAATCCCAGAGTGTTTAAGATAAACAATGTCATTAAGAGCAAGTTATGTCTTGTGGAAAGCAAATAATAAGGCATGGGTCATGAGGCAAATTTTCAAAGAGTGGGTCCATGAGGTGTTTGGCCCCAGTGTGAAAAATTACCTCCTAGAAAATAATTTGCCACTCCAGTTTACCTGGAGTTTACCTGGAGAGAGTTTCGGGGGTCAACGCCCCCGCGGCCCGGTCTGTGACCAGGCCACCTGGTGGATCAGCGCCTGATCAACCAGGCTGTTGCTGCTGGCTGCACGCAAAGCCGCGAGCGTAGGGGGGGGGGGGGGGGGGGGGGGGGGGGGGGGGGGGGGGGGGGGGGGGGGGGGGGGGGACAGCCACAGCCCGGCTATCAGGAACTGTCTTTAGGTGCTTGTCCAGTGCCAGCTTGAAGACTGCCAGGGGTCTGTTGGTAATCCCCCTTATGTGTGCTGGAGGCAGTTGAACAGTCCACGGGCGTCGGGCCCCTGACACTTATTGTAATGGTCCTCTTAACTCTAGTGACAACCCCGCTTTTCATTGGGGGATGGTGCATCTTCTGCCAAGTCCTTTTGCTTTCGTAGGAGTGATTTCGTGTGCAAGTTTTGGTACTAGTCCCACTAGATTTTCTCAGGTGTATAAATCATGTACTCTCCCTCCTGCGTTCCAGGGAATACAGGTTTAGAACCTAGCGCTCCCAGTAATTGAGGTATTATCTCCGTTATGCGCGCCGTGAAAGTTCTTCTGTACATTTTCTAGTCGGCAATTTCACCCTTTCACCATGCCTGTGAAAGGTGGCATGTTTAGAGTGCAGCACTTTATTCCAGCCTAGATAGAACAAGTGACCTGAAGAGTGTCATCATGGCTTGGCCTTCTCCTAGTTTTTTGAAGGTTCTCATTATCCATCCTGTCATTATCTAGCGAAATGCAATTGATACAATGTTATGGTCCTTGAAGGTGAGATTCTCCTACATAATCACTCCAGGCTTTGACGTTTGGTGTTTTCGCTCTATTTTGTTGCCAGCATTGGTTTTGTACTCTGATGAAGATTTACATTTCCCTCAAGGGGGGGGTGTTTACCCAGATCTGAGTAATTGAAATTTCTCATCGTTGAACTTCATATTGTTTTCTGCAGCCCCGAAAAGTTGGTTGATGGTCCACCTGGGCCTTGCAGTGTCTGCAATGGAAGACACGTCATGCAGATTCGGTGTCTCTGCAAAGGAAAGGACACGTGCAGTGGCTACATCCTGTCTATGTCGGATATGAGGATGTGGAACAAGATGGGAGCTAGTACTGTGGCCACGTGGACAGACTGTCCCGTAGCTGCCTCGACTTTACCTGTTGACGACTACCTCTTGTTCTGTTAGTGAGGAAATATAGATCCATCGACCGACTTTTTTTCCTGTTATTCCTTTAGGCGCGCATTTTTGTGCGCTATTACCCATGGTCACACTTGTCGAAGCTTTTTGCAAAGTCTGTATATATTACATCTGCATTCTTTTTGTCTTCTAGTGCATTTGACCTTGCGTAGTGATCCAGTTATTGAGACTAGACAGGAGCGAGCGACCGTTTCGTAAACCCATGTAGCCCCAGGGTTATGTAACTGATGGGTTTCTAGATGGGTGGTGACTTGCTTCTTAGGACACCGTTCAAAGATTTTTATGATATGGGATGTTAGTGCTATTGGTCTGTAGTTCTTGTGCTTGTTGCTTTAACTGCCCCCTTTGTGATGGGGCTAAGCTGTTGTTTTTAGTAACTGGGGACGCAACCCCGTGTCCCATGCACCTCCCCCCTCCCCCCCCCCCCTCCATAGGATTGGAAAAGGCTCCGTGATAGGGGCTTCTTGCAGTTCTGATGAACACAGAGTTCCATGATCGGGCCCTGGGGCAGAGTGCATGGGCATGTCCATTTATTCGCCTGTTCGAAGTCTTTGGCGTCAGGAATAACATTCAGGATAGGCTTGTGTTGTAGTAGTCCAAATTTTTTGTGGCCTCTCTCATAAAAAATTCATTTTGGTCTTCGACTCTCAGCTGGTTAGCGCTTGCTAAAAACTGAGTCCATATGGGACTTGAGTAGCTCACTCATTTCCTTGCTGTCATCTGTGTAGGACCCATCTTGTTTTAGTAGGGGCCCAAAACTGGACGTTTGTTCTCGATTTTGATTTGGCATAGGAGAAAAATAAACTTTGGGTTTCTTTCGATTTCATTTATGCTTTTAGTTCTTCCCCCCCCTTCCCGTCGATTCCTGAATCCTAAAGGATTCTTTTAGCTTAAGTTCGATGCTTTGCGATTTCTCTGACCAGTGTCCCCCTGCGCTATTTCAGATATATTGACCGCTTTTTTATGTTTATTTTTAGGCCCTCTGTATTCTTTCCTCGCCTGTTAAGGAGCGCCTGCTCTTTCTATTTTAACATCTACGTCCTCCATTTTTCTTAGAGGATTAAGCCTTTGCAAACATCAAAAGAGGTGCCACCGAGTTTAATCTGTTCTAGGCATAAGTTTGGGTCTGTGTTGCTTAGTATATCTTCCCAGCATATATCGTTAGGACTTTGGTTTACTTGGTCCCACTTTATGTTTTTTGTTATGAAGTTGTATTTTGGTGAAGGCTCCCTCATGACTATCTCATTGTTGTCGGGCTGGGCTCATGCATACATGTCCTGAACCTCAATTATGTTGTGATCTGAGTATATTTGTGTGATATGGTGACATTTCTTATCAGATCATCGATTGGTTAGTGTGTGTAGATGGTGTGAGTGATAGTTGTCTAGTGCTATTCTCCAGTGCTTGGGTAGGCTCTATTATTTGCTGGTTTAAATTGAATTTTGGTGCCAAAATTTAAAGCTCGTGTTGAGTGTGAGTTTTCATCAAGCCTGGCCCTCCTGGTGGTTATTTCGTGCAACAATATTATTTGCTATATTCCGCCAATTTAGGTGCCTTAAGTTGAAATCCCCCAGGAGGCAAGATGTGGGGTGCAGGAGCTGGAAATTTTACCAGACAGTGGCAATTTTTTAACAGCTGTTCCTGGAATTGCTGGGATGTTCATACGGCAGGCTTGTAGACTACCACAATGACTAGGTTTTGGTCCGACCTTTACTGCTTAAAAAAACGTCCACTACGCATTTGAGGCATTAAGGGCAGTTCTGTGCAAACAAGTGACTCTGCAATGTACAAGGCCCAACCCCCCCCTTTTTGCCTGTTTCCTCTGTCACTTCTGTTACTGGACAGCTGCTGCACATCTCCATACTTGGTAGACTACTGTTCTAGGGGCTACAGTTTCTTACAGTGGAAGTTCTTGCCTCCCTAACACCACTCCACTCCTCCAGGCCCATGGTCCATCAGCATTTCTAACTTCAAAAAACTCTACTACAAATGCATGTTTGAAAGTGCTTTGAAGTGACCTCAGACACTAAGTTGACCCTAAGAGAGTTCTGGAGGAATCGCTTCAATATCTACACCTGCATAACCCTTATAGGTAAGGCTTGGGAAGGAGTGACTTCCAGGACTTTGAACTCTGCTTGGAGACAATTGTGGCCACAGTGTGTCGTCCAGAGGGATTTTGAAGGGTTTGAGGCTGACCCTGACCCTGCCGACCCTCTGCCTGTTGTGGAAGGTATTGTGGCATTGGGCAAGTCCATGGGGTTGGAGGTGAGTGGCGAGGATGTGGAAGAGTTGGTGGAGGACCACAGGGAAGAGCTAACCACTGAAGAGCTGGAAGAGCTTTATCTGGAACAGTATCAGACCACAGCTCAGGAACTTGCTTCAGGAGAGGAGGAAGAGGGAGTGGATGAGGTGCCTTCTTCAAAGATTAACCCTTTGACTGTTTTGGTCATATATATACGTCTTACGAGCCAGTGTTTTGGACATACTAATATGCATAAATTCTAGCGGCTTCAAATCAAGCAGGAGAAAGCTGGTAGGCCCACATGTGAGAGAATGGGTCTGTGTGCACCACATAAAAAAAAAAAATCCTGCAGCACACAGTGCATAATGAGAAAAAAAAACTGACCGTTTTTTGGATTAAAACGCCGACTTTGAGGTGTATTTTCGTATAGTATTTATCCTGTCACTGATTGGCCTTGAAATTTAGCTGAGAAGAAATGATTTACCCAGTTTTAATGTATGTTGGTTATTAACCCTTTGACTGTTTCAGGCCCCTTTCTGAAACTGTCATTCTATGTCGCCAAATATTCGAAAAAAAAAAAATTTTTCTTATGAAACGATAGAGAATCTTTTCCCGATGGTAACGACACCAAAAGTTCGAAATTTGGTCGAAAACTCATGGAATTACACTTCCGCGAAGTTAGCGGAATCGGCGACATATGTGTATCGTCGATTTCGCCGACTTTGAGCCCTGTTTTCAGCCAATTTCGTTGTTCCAGTTAACCAAACTCATAGCTATTTCTTTAGAACTCCATTTTATCTATCAGCTGAGTACAAGAAACCGCCCATTTACCAATTTGAACTACCCAAAAATAGTGGTCAAAAATTTTGGCAATTTGGCCAATTTCACACAAATTAAAAAAGAGGGCCAGTTTCAAAATAGGGTCCAGAAAAACAAGGTAGACATTCTTGGCACAAAATAGCATATCCTCTGTTCATTAGTCACATCTCTAGGCCCCTCTTGAAATTAAATTATTGCTTTCTATTTTGATTTTTTATTCATACAAAAAAATAAAAAAAATTTACTGTTATGCAGACTACTGCATTATTGTAAAAATGGTATAAATAATATCAGTGCACTAGTGAAAAATATTAGACTCCCCAGTTGACGTGTAATTTGGACGTGTGGGTGATTTATTTACCCTGAACATTGGTAAAAATCAAACATTTCCTCTAATTTGAGCTCAGTTTCAAGGTCGTTTTTCATCGTCAAAGTAATGAAAATCATCTCTATTTCTGTAATATATTTTCCATTTTATCACCTAAGACCAAGAAAACGCAAATACAATGATAAATACTATACGAAAATACACCTCAAAGTTGGCGTTTTATTCCAAAAAAACGATGTTTTTTTTTTCTCATTACGCAATGTGTGCTGCAGGATTTTTTTTATGTGGTGCACACTGACCACACAGACCCATTCTCTCACATGTGGGCCTACCAGCTTTCTCCTGCTTGATTTGAAGCCGCTAGAATTATTGAGTATATATACATTAGAAACATTGGCTCGTAAGACGTATTTATACGTCGAAAACAATCAAAGGGTTAATATTTCCAAACCCATGCTGAGAAATCCCTTTAAAAGCTCTTGATCCAAGACTTTGAGGTATCCCTCCCTTCCCTTTGATCAAGCCTAATTACCTTTTACAGTATTTGCTGGGTATTGTATAGTCCATGTGGGGTTTAGTGCTTTCCTATAAATATAATAATAAAATACTGAGAAATAACTGCCAAGAAATACAGTCAAAGAACATTGATTTTTCTTACAGGGTGGAGTACTAGTGAATGTTGTCCCAGCAGAATTATCAGTAGCATTTGATATCCGCATTTGCCCATCAGAGATAGAAACATTTGAAGATAGAATCCGAGGGTGGTGCAAAGAAGCTGGTGAAGGTGTCACCTATACAATTCGTGATAAGGTCAGTGACGAGATTAGTGTAGTGACGAGATTGTGAGAGATTTGTTTTTTTCTATTTGTATATTATAAAAGAAGTTTTAAAATTTAAATTACCCTCAGATATTATTTTCCAAATCTGCTAGATTACTCTAATCAGTAAAGCAATATACAAAATT